ACTAGGTAAATCTATAGTGTTAGCCACATGTTGGACAAGGTAAATCTCTGGTGTTAGCCACATGTTGAATAAGGTGAACCTGTGGTGTTAGTCACATGTTGAACTAGGTACACCTATAGTGTTAGCCACATGTTGGACAAGGTGAACCTATGGTATTAGACATCATTATGACTTGTAGAAAAATGTTCTGATTCTTTCAAATATTTCCTAGTTTTGTGTGAAAGCTTTGTTTGAACCTGTGCTGGTCTCCTTTGCTGGTTTTTAATACAGAAATGGGCGGTGAGTTGGCGGGAGCAGTGTCATTGCCTGGAGCCATTGGGTCCGGTCCGGTGAGGATGGGAGGAGCTGTTGCAGGCCGTGCAGGAAAGAGGAGATCTGCAGGGTGAGTATGATCAGTGTTATACCCGTTAAGACGTTTTGTTGTCAGAACCTTACAAGTTCTTATTAATATTTTCTGAAAAGAAACAACAATCCATTTCTCACAAAAATCCATGTCGACATATTTCTCCAATTTTCTGCTGAGGGACAGAACCAAGTCCTGAATCTGTGCAACAATTATCAAGTATCATACATCCAGATGACCAGACCTTTAAAAAAATTCTGTATGATGACCTCCTGTAGATCTGTTTGGTTCTAAGTGGAAATGTCTGTGGGTTCAGGAAGTCCAATTAGTACTCCCAAACTCTGAGACCTTCTTTCACCTAGAACCTTATTCTGTAAATGCTTCTAGAACCAAATCCTGACTCAAAGTTTTTAACTAATATTTTAGCTGGTAGTTTTTGAATAAAACTGAATTATTTACAGTTTTCTGATACAGTTTTTAACCATTTTGTTTCTTTGTAACATTGTGGAAAATAGAACTGGATCAATGGCCAAACATGTCCCAGAATCAGATAACTCTGGTGTCAGTTCTGGCGCTAATGAACATTATTCAAGTTATCTGGATACACAGGACTCCTGAAAGACCCAGGTGGCAGCCAAAACTAGATGTTCACATGCAAAAGGAGAACCATCAGCTTAACGACTGAACGTTAGTTCAAGTGACATTTGCAATAACAGCATTGTAAAAAGTTAAGCATCATTGCACAGCATGTCAAGTCCAAGACCCAACGACAGCAGAAGTTTAATTTACTGGCAACTTGTCAAGCCCATCTCAATCCCAACAACACACTCAATGGCAGACAACACATCGGAAGACAGTCACACACCAGAGAGCCAGAGAAGTGGGTGAGGATTTTGTCTGACAGCAAGCTCACCCAGCCGGTGACAGAGATCCTTACCACAGGATTGAACTTTGTGGTTGCACCAAGAAAAAATCCTCTAGTAGAGATGATCCCAGCCACAGAGTCAGCCATCCACAACAACAAAATGTCAGAATTTGAAGCAGAACAACTTGGGAAGAAAGTTTCAGCCTACCTCAACATATCCTCTCTGGCTGCATACGTTGGACTCTGTCTATCCTGGAGTCTTACATTTTATCACTGGTCCTGGGTCCTTTACCTACCACTGTCTTCTGTAGACCTGCGCTGGATGGACTGCCTTATCCACCCACAGATTCTATCCCTGATATAACCTTATTTACAAAGCCATCTTGGGTTTACCTCCCTTTATCTCCTGTCATTTGTTGTTAGGAAATCTTCATGAGGTTCTTCTCTGCGTTCCGATAAGTTCATTTTATTAACCGTAAAGTTCGACCTGATAACAACAAAAACTCTTTCCAGTTCGCTCCGACTGGAGTCCACTACAAAAAGACTTGAAGTTGGTCTCTTTGAACGTTTTGAAGGCCATTTTGAAACAATTTGTAAATGAGGCTTTTGTTTGTAAATATTTTAACTGATATTTAATTCTACTTTAGTCCTTTTTTATATTTCTTATTTGTTTATTTTTTAAACATGATGTATTTTAATTGTGCTTTGATATTTGGGGTTTTATGGCTGGTAATGTTTGTGTGCTGCTGCCATTCTTTGTTCGGTCTCTCGTGAAAATGAGATTTTTTAATCTCAATGAGATCTACTCTGCTTAAACAAAAGAGAATAATGATTAAAACAATTATTTGAGCAGCCCTAATTTTGTACAGTATTCCAGTTTCATGGAAACAAAAACTATTTTTGTTTTTCAGGATGGACTTTGAGGATGAGGACGGAGAAGGACCAAGCAAATTTTCAAGGTGAGAACCCTGAAATCAAAGCAGACTCAAATTTTAGGATATTGGTGGGCCCATACCATACAATTTTATTTATAGAGCACTTAAAACAGCGACAAGGCCAACCAAAATGCTGTACAGACAGAAAAACAGGCAACACACAAAGCAATATACAAAATGAGGTAAATCAGAATATAGACATAAAAACATTGCAGATAATAAATATAACGACTAACCAGTGTGGAGCGTACAGTTTCAAAACACAGATCCTCTGGTGTTGAAAGCTACTGAATAGTAGTGGGTTTTTAAACGGGATTTGAAAACTGAGAGGGAGGGGGCCAGTCTGACAAGCAGAGGTAACTCGTTCCAAAGTCTTGGTCCTGCTACAGAGAAGGCCCTGTCACCTCTGCGCTTAAGACGAGTTCCTGGAACTGTGAGGAGCAACTGGTCCGCTGACCTCAGGGAACGTGGAGGGACATACGGCTGTAGCAGATCAGAGGGATGGGAGGGGGGGCGAAACTATTCAGCGATTTGTAGACATACAGGAGTATTTTGAACTGGATTTGAAGGTAGCCAGTGCAGAGAGGACAAGACTGGTGTAATGTGCTCTCTTTTGCCTGTACTGGTTAAAAATCGGGCTGCTGCATTCTGGACCAGTTGTAGTCGTGCAATGGAGGTCTGACTGATACCAAACAGGAGCGAATTGCAGTAATCAAGCCTAGATGTAATGAATGCATGTATTACTGTCTCCAGGTTATTTTATACAGTAAACATGATTTAAACAATAATTTTAAATGTATACCTTCTAGTTTCCTGGCTCTTTTTAGTGCTGACAGGAATCTAAGTTCACTGCCTTGGTTCAGTTTGACTCACTTCACCCGTGTGATGCTAACATTTGTTAGCATCACTTACATTAGCACCAGCATTTTTGTGTCCAGTTTGTCTACAACGTCTTAGTCAGAAACTGTCTGTTAGCTGAATAGATCTGGTTCCTGGTCGCCAGTTGCTGAGAAATGGATAACTAGACAGGTGCTGGTGAACGGATCAGTGTCTAGATGAATGGGTTACAGTTTCTTGGTGCTGGTGAATGGTTTCCACTCTCCACCTGCAGGTTCTAATGGTTCTGTCCTGTGCTCTAGAGAGAACCACAGTGAGATTGAGCGACGGCGGCGTAACAAGATGACGCAGTACATCACTGAGCTGTCAGACATGGTTCCTACTTGTAGCGCCCTCGCCAGAAAACCTGATAAGCTGACCATCCTGCGCATGGCTGTCTCACACATGAAATCCATGAGGGGAACTGGCAACACGTCCACCGATGGCGCCTACAAGCCCTCCTTCCTCACAGAGCAGGTACTGTCCACATATGGACCTCTGACTGCAGAGGTTTTAATGCAGCTCATCAGAACTCATCAGAAATGCTGCTTTAAAACAAAGATTCTGTCACACTGAATAAACTGTGGAAAGTTAGTTTCTTCTAGTAAAGACTATAAGGATGACAAAAAGGAGCTCATTGGCTCTATGCACAGGTCTGAACATAGTTCTTTGTTACTTTTGTTCTTTTATTAATCCTGAGTATAAAATTGTTAAAACTTTTAAAATATATCTTGTATTGTTTACTTAAAACGCAAAGTCAAAACAAATTCAGTGGTCATCTTTACTTCTAATTCTGTTCTAAAGTTCACATCGCTGAATGAAACCAAGGAGGCAGCTTCTTCTGACTGATGGCCTTCTTTTTCAGAGGGGCACATGCACAGCACTGCATTAAAGGTTCAGTTCAGCTGTTTTCAGCGGTCAGAGTAAAAAGCTTCACAGCAAAATGAGCTCTGAAGAAAGTTCTGATCCGACTGTGGCGCTTTCAGAGTGGATCCAGACTCAGATGAATTCTGATCGGAATAAAATAGCTAATTACTAACCTGAGCATGCTTTAAACTTAAAGCAGATTTCTGCTATCTTTCAAAACTCCAATTTCAAACATTTCATAGAGCTATATTTTAAACATCAAACATTTATGTCTGTTTTCTCAGAACATACTGTAGTCCAATTGTCAGTAAGGATTTGTGTGTTACTCAACAGAAGGTTATTTCTGTCATGCAGAGAAACTAACAGCATAAAAATCAATAAAACCGTGTTTCCATGGTCCACTGACGTAGTCCTCCATAGTTAGACTCATGAAAGTCCTGTCTGTTGAGCCATGCATCCCTATAACTGAGTAATGATGACTTCCTGAGGGTTTTTTAATCAGATTCAGAGTTTATTGTCATGTGGTACATGTGGTGGAACGAAATTATGTACACAGCGTCCCAGTTACATCCCACAATAAAATATTAAAGAAAAACAGTAATAAAATCTAAAACATAAACTAAGAAAAACATCAACTAAAAATACACTAAGCCCTAATTCAATTAGGGAGGAAAATCACACCATCCTGCCTCTTGATTCTTTATCAGATGAAACGACTTTAGAAATGTCACTAGAGTACGATTGTGTTTGGTCTCTTTCAGTCTTGTTGAGCTCTCTAAATTGTCAAAAATAATAATTTCATCCAAACCATGAACATGTTTGCTAGATCCCATCCCAACCAGAGTCAGAGTCAGAGTTTCTTTATTGTCATTCGCACCTCATGTGGTACATGTGGTGGAGCGAAATTATGTACACGGGGTCCCAGTTACATCCAACAATAAAATGTCTAAGAAAAACAGTAATAACATCTAAGATATGAACTAAGAAAAACATCAACTAAATATACACTAAGCACTCATAACATAAAACATTGAACATCAGCACAAACATGAACATGAGTCTGTGAGCAGATGTGCACACATGAACACATCAACATTGAAACAGATCAGCAGCAACATGAAACAGATCAGCAGCAACCAGACTGTGCAAAGAGGTGTTTCCTGTTAGTGTCTCTGTTTAGATGACTGTGTTGTCCTGAAGAAATTCAGTATTTGCCAGCTGCTTCCATTCTCACAACACAATGAGAAGCAACAAAAACACAAAAAGAAACAACCTCTCCACAAGTCTAAAAACATCACACCAGTAAATGCCCAGTGAAATACTGAAAAACAAGGATGAACTAAAACAGTTTTCATTAGCAAAACCTTAGCAAACAGGATCTACTCGGACCACATGTTAGTGTGTCCATCCAATCAGAACTCCATTTCTCCAAACTGGGAGAAATATATGCTGCAGGTAAGATACTGAGTGCTGAGAATGTCTCCACAGAACCTTGGTACAAAGTGTACCTGTAATGCTGTCGGTCAGACTGCATCAAGAATATGTGTGAGAATAAAGTTCTGCTCGCTTCGACTCATGGTTCTGTGCTGGTATCATTTGACTTTGAAGTAAGCAGTAAAAAAATGTTCCAACTAGACGACGCAGAACCAAGGTGAGGTCCTCCTAGTTTTCTCTTTAATAAACTGTGTTCTGGTGTGGACCCTGCAGGAACTGAAGCACTTGATTCTGGAAGCAGCAGATGGCTTCCTGTTTGTGGTCGCTGCAGAGACGGGCCGGGTCATCTACGTGTCGGACTCTGTGACGCCGGTTCTAAACCATCCCCAGTCAGAGTGGCTGGGCAGCACTCTGTACGAACAGGTCCACCCGGATGATGTGGACAAACTGAGAGAACAGCTGAGCACCTCAGAGAACTCCATGACAGGTACAGACAGAATCAAACCCATCTTCGTCAAAGTTACTGATCGAGCATTCCTCTGTGACTTCATTTATTAATCATCATCTCCTGGATGAACGGACTCCAGGACTCAAATCTCCTTCTGATGGAAACATTCAGTCACTTTTCGGGTCTATTTCTCAAAAATACAAGTTCGCTAAAGACGTGCTGTAAAGTACTGCAAGTCCATTAAAAAGGTTTATAAAACTAATTAAATGATCATTTATTCAGTCCATTGCTTAAAATGAATAAAATCATGAACAGCAATTGAGTTTATTGTTAGATTATTGTTGTATTTATTAATAATATGGACCTTGTTCATTCGTTTATAAACTGAAATTTTCTCAAGCAAAAACAGGTAATGACTTTACTTATTACTTTTATTCTTTAGCATAAATAAAGACTTTGAATAGCTTATGACTTAAGGTAGAATACACATGGGCGCAGGTGAGGGGCAGGTGTAGGCGGAGCCTGAGAACTAAGGAGAACAGAACAGAAAAACTTGCGAAAAGTAACTGATTCACCCGAAACATACAAATACAAAACAAGAATAAATTCAGAATGCGTCATAAATCTCCCAATGCCGTGACAACATTCCCCCATTTCTCTAAGAGACAGTAACACCATCCCATCAGGACAGTGCCTCCATCTTAGAAATGGTACCTCCCATCAGTGTGAGAACAAATGCTGCTGCTTTAACTGGGTGTGTGTGGACAGATTCTGAAAGAAAAGACCAGGTGAGACAATTGGAGATGTGAAAGTGAATCATCTGACTTCAGGAACAGAATCAGGAGGAGGCAGGTGGGCCTTGACCCCATCCCAAGGTGTAGGACCAGGAACAAATGAAGGCAATTTATGACTTTAATGACATTAGTAAGCATCTAAAATCCTGTACTGTTAAAAACCCACAGTCCAGAGGACATCCCAAAGGTCAAAGGTCATGAGTCTCAAAGAAGATGCTGTTCCTTGTTGGACAGAATCCCATGAACAACTATAAAAAAAGGCCTAAAGTACTTCTGTAACATCAGTTTTAATCTATACTCGGCTAAGTTTTACTTATGTTACTATAACCTTTGACCTCTTTAACCTGAGATGTGTTTTTTTATCAGGACGGATTCTGGATTTGAAGACTGGAACGGTGAAGAAGGAGGGCCAACAGTCGTCCATGAGGATGTGTATGGGCTCCAGACGCTCCTTCATCTGTCGCCTGAGGTGAGTGTGTTGTCAAAAATATCATGACCTTTGACCTTAACAATCCATCAGATAATTGTATCTGTTTTCTGTTTGTGCTCTGACCTGTTCAGGGTCACAGACTGGGAGAGGAATATCGTGCATTTTTAAATTAAATATTCTGAGCTACTAAACCTCTGAACCAAAACAAATACTTTTGAAACTTGAATTGAAGCTGAAGTGAAAATGAATCCCCTCAAAAGGTGTTTTTATTTTAAACTGTTTTCAGATTTCTCTTTTTGAATAAGATATATATGATCTATAATATTAACAATATATTGTAATAGTCACAAAGAGGTTTTCTGCTCTCATTTATGACTTGTTCCTGCAGCCCATTTCTCATCAGAATGTCCTGTTTACCCAACTTCTGACTCAAGCCTTGTTTCCAGTGCCAACCTTCGAGGTCAAACAATGAGTGAAAGGCATAATAATGAAGCCATGCTGGCTCAGACATCAGCCCGATTAACAATGTCTGCATTAGATATTGTGGAACCAGGACATTCTAATGAGAAATGGGCTACTGGAACAGGACATGCATAGACAAGGGCAGAGAACTTAACACTGTTGGAATCCTACTAGGCGAGCAACCCTAGAGAGAGGGGCTATAAGGGAAGGATGTGGGGAATTATGGAAACTTTGATACCCATCATCCAGATTGACCCAGAAACTAGTTTGGACCCAGTGTTCCAATATTAAAGTGAGGAATCTGCTATCAGACCTAGAGACTGGTGAGGTACAACATAGATAAACTATGGTCAGGAGGAGCCAGGACAGCAGGTCAGAGGGGGATTAACTATCATCCCACCATCAGAGTCTGGGTACCAAGCCCCAATGACACCTGTAACCTGCACCCCTTGCTAAGGCTAAGTGATAAAGTACCTTCTGAAAGTCTGTTGGAAGATGTTAGAAGAAGCTAAATATTGCTATTGACACTATCACAAAAAATATAAGCCAATACCAATGAGCTGGTATAAACCACACCAACAGTGATCCTTGACTTGATTGGCAAGTCATTGAAAAAGGAGAGAATAATGAAGAAGAGGAGAAAATTAGAACAACAGAAATGTGCAATTAAGAATCCACAACCTGTCCAACCTGTCTAGAGACTGCCAAACGAGGCCTCAAAGCATTTTTCACCTAAAGAGGTACACTCAAGAACCAGGCGAATAACGTGAGAGAAGGAGGCGTCACATAATACCCCATGGTTACAGTAACTAAGATCTGAACACAGTAATCTCCCAGAATCAGTATGATACTCATCACAGGACATCCAGGACAGAATCTCGGGAATGAAGAGCTGGACTGCACCTGGGCCTGACATGATCCACATTTACTGGCTAAAGAAACTGCTCTCCATGAACGCCTAGCAGCACAGATGAACCATCTGCTAATGGAAGGGTCTCACCCAGAGTGGTTGACCCAAGGCCAGACAGTCCTGATCATGAGACCCCCAGAAAGGGGCAATTCCATCCAACTACTAGTCAATCTCCTGCCTCTGTACAACATGGAAGCTCCTATCAGATATCATAGAGCTAAAATGAATAGACACATGGGTCAATACCTGAGTGAGGCACAGAAGGGAACTGGCACCAACACCAGGGGATCCAAGCACCAGCTACTTGTGCACTGCCTGGTTTAACTTTAGGAAAGATGATCACTCCATGCCACACACATGGATTCTGGAGTGGTTGAAACTATACATCAACAGAATCAAATCCAATTTATTTATCAAGCACATTTAAAAACAACTGTCGTTGTCCAAAGTGCTGCACATAATACAAATATTGAGAAGACAATACTAAAACAGGAGGCAATAAAAGCACAGAAGAATAAAAAAAAAACATCTAAATGAGATTAAAAACATAAAATAAAACCAATAAAAGAAGCAGTAAATAAATAAATAGTCAACTCTCATTCTGTATTAAAAGCCAGGGAGTACAAATGTGCTTTAAAATGTGACTTAAAGACAGCAAGAGTTGAAGCCTGTCTGTTATGAAGAGGCAGCTGGTTCCACAATCTTGGAGCTAAAACTGAAAAGGTCCAATCACCTCTGTGGACCAACTTGGACAGGACAGCCAAAAGCAAATGATAATTGGATCAGAGGGATCTAGAGGACACATAGGGCTGCAGGAGGTCCTACAGGTCTGCAGGAGTCTGTCTATTCGGGGCCTTATAGGTCAACAATAAAACTTTTAAATGACTCAAACGTGGAGTCGATGAAGGGACGCAGCAGCGAGGAGATCTGTCCACGCTTCTTTGTTTGTGTTAAAAAAACGAGCTGCAGCGTTGTGGATCAGCTGCAGATGAGAGGCTGGCCTGGATAACACCAACAAATAGAGAGCTTCAGTAGTCGAGTTGGGAGGTAATAAAAGCATGAATCAACCGTTCAGTCTTTAAAGGATAAAAATGATTTCATTTAAGATAAAAGCACAGTTTAAAAAAGGATCCAATAATGGTCAGTCAGGTCATCTGGACAGTTCCTTTTTTGTGGAAAGACATTTTGCCCTCTATCCAGAGGGCTTCATCAGTCTGAGGAGTCCCAAGTAAACTGTTTTCCCCATTAAACAGTACACTCCTTTAGTGGACCAACAAGTTTGCTGGTGATAAGATGGTTTCTGAGGGCTGTCCTGTCCCCCGTAAGCTCCTCCCAGTCAGGCAGCCACAGCCAAAGTGGTTTCAGTGAGATATAATGATTTTGCTTCAACTGAAAGTAGACCTGAGTGTTGTCTGCATAAAAATGTAAAGAAACATTACATTTTCTAAAAATGGAGCCTAAAGGTACCATATAAATGCAAAATAATAACAGTTCAAAAATAGAACCTTGGGGTACTCTGCATGTGAGGGAGGCAGAGGAGGAGACAGATTTTCAGAGGCATATGCAGAAACTCCTGTCAGACAGGTCTGAACCAGTCCAGAGCAGAACCTGTGACACCACATTGTTCCTGCCTGGAGAAATGTCTGAGAAGTCCTTAATAAAATCCTTATTATATTTCGGAGGTCTGTAGCCAACTGAGTATAGAGTGGGGCGGGAGCAACCCAACTCAAACATCAGAAGTTCAAAAACTGAACACTAAGAACTTTCATCAAGAACTCAGTGGGAACATGGAAGACAATTCTAGAGGCCCGTTCAAAGCCAATTGCACAAGTCAGCATCAAAAGTGGCATATACCAAGGTGATGTACAGTCCTCACTCCTGTTCTGCATAGGCCTGACCCCACTCAGCCAGATCATTGCAAAGAATGACTATGATACTGGTTCCAAAGTGGAACAATCATCAGTCACCTCCTCTACCTGACATCAAGCTGTGTGCCAAAAATGGCCAAGACATTGACCCACTTCTCCACCTCAGTAGGGTTTTCAGCAATAACATGTGTCATGTCAATGTCATTTGGACTGATGATATGCAAGAGAGGCAAGATGATCACAACTGAAGAGGTTGCACTACCTGAAGGTAACATTGCAGATGTCCAGGACAGCTACCTGTTTTTTGGAATCCCACATGTAAATGGCAATCATGATGAGGCTGCAAGAAAGTCAGCCACAGAGAGTTAGGCAGGTCCTGAAGAGCCAGCTCAATGGCAAGAACAAAGTCTGAGCCATCAACACATGTGCAGTGCCAGTCGTCAGATAACCGGCTGGTATATTAGAACTGGCCAAAGGAGGAGATAGAAACCACTGACATCAAGACTCAAAAGCTCCTAACAATACATGAACTGGCACTCAACATAAGAGCAATGGAGACCAGGGTCTACCATACCAGACAAGGTCCAAGATACAGACTGTGCAAAAATGTCCTTGAAACAGTCCAACACATAATAGCAGGATGTAAGATCCAGGCAGGTAAAGCATACATAAAAAAGGTTAAAAAAAAAAAAAGTTCTAGGAGCACAGCAGATGTTTGAAGGGAAAATTCTTAGAACCATCCAACAGATTATGAATCTTCTAACCCTAGTTTTAACAATTCTTAGGATTTTTTTTTTATCAAACATTTAAAACATTTAAAAAATAGTTAAATCAGGCAAATCTTTAGTAAAAACAGATTTATTTTTAAGACTGGTGTTTTTGAACATTTCTGTTCTGTTTTTGATCCTCAGCAGCTTTCAGAAATGCTTGTATCAGCTAAATTATTTTCTGTGTTTTTGATGTTTAGGTGTGGCAGCTCTCCTCTGGACCACATCTCTCTAAACCGACTGTCCAACATGAGGAAGAGATACAGGTGCAGGTTTCTGACTCAGGTCTTCTTGCTTTAGATATGGGGTTCTGATCTTTGGGTCTTTCTAATTAAGCTACTTCTAATCTGGATATTATTGATCAAAGTATGATGTTCTGATTGGGGTCTTTATGATTCAGATATGGGGTTCTATTCCAGATGTTATTGGTCCAGGTATGGGGTTATGATCTTGTTGGTATTAGATCAGCGTTAACCCTGTGTTAAACTTGTTGTAAACCCGAGTTAAATCTTTGAATAACTTGTGTTTTCCATGGGTTAAAAATGTTTAACCTGGGGTGTGATTTGGAGGAACAGCCTCTCTGATCTAAACCCAAGCAGAGTTTTGTTATTGGACTTCTATGCTAGTCAGGGTTTGTCCCTCACAAACCCCATGTTCAAACATAAGGGTGTCCCTTAGCGCACATGGCAACAGAACACTGTAGACCGCAGATCAATGACAGGTTTTGTAGTTGTGTGATCTGATCTGTAGATGTATGTTTAGGACATTTGGGTGAAGTGAGGAGTTGAGCTGTCAACTGATCACCACCTGCTGGTGAGTTGGATCAGGTAGCAGGGGAAAATGCTAGACAGACGAGGTAGACCCAAATGTGTAGTGGGAGTTTGCTGGGAATGCCCGGCAGAAAAACCTTTCAGAAGGTCAAGTTGAAGGAGTCCTATCAGGCCTTGTTTGCTTGTAGGACTCTAGAGGCACCTGAAGAGTATCTATCTGCAAGCCAAGCATGCTCTTCCTGAGGCAAAAGCTTGGATGTGGAAAGAGTTTGGTGACACCCTGAATAGAGACTCTTGATCACCACCAAGGAGATTCTGACAAACCATCTGGTGGCCAAGACAGGGAAAGCAGCACTTTGCCAACACTATGCATAATGAAAGTGGGGTGATGATGACGTCAACCAGTGATGTCATCCGGAGGTGAAAGGAACACTTTTCAGACCTTCTTAATCCCACCAGCATGTCTTCCATGGAGGAATCTGAGTTGGAGGTCTTCTGGGTTGGTCCATCCATAACCGAGGCTGAGGTTGCTGAGATAGATGAAAAGCTCCATGACGACAGTTCTCCTGTGGTGGTTGAGAGTCACCCTGAGTTCCTCAAAGCTCTAAATGCTGTGGGGCTGTCTTGGTTGAGACACCTTTGAAACATTGCATGTACATCTGGGGCAGTGCCCCTGGATTGGCAGACTGGTGTGGCAGTTCCCTTCTTTAGAAAGGGGGACTGGAGAGTTTCTTTCAATCACAGCAGCGTCTCTCTCCTTAGCCTCCCTGGTAAGGTCTATTCAGTGGTACTTGAGAAGCAAGTCTGACCAATGCTCAAACCTCAGATTCAGGAGGAACAAAGCTGGTTCTGTCCTGGCTGTGGAACACTGGACCACCTCTTACCCTCACTAGGATCTTTGAAGAGTCATGGGAGTTTGTCCATCCACTCTGCATGAGTTTTATGGACTTGGAAAAGGCAGTAGACCATGTTCCTCAAGGTACACTATGGGGGGTGCTCGGTGAGTATGGGATTAGGTGTCTGTTGTTACAGGCCATTCAGTCCCCATACAAGCAGTGCAAGAGTTTGGGTCACTTTGTAGGCAGTAACTCAGACCTTCTCAGGGTGGAAGCTAGACTCCACTACCTGTTGTCAGCAATTCTGTTTATAACTTTTACAGACAGAATTTATGGTGCAGCCAGGGGCAGAGAGGGTCCAGTTTGGTGGCCTCAGGATTCTTTCAATGCCATTTATGGATGATACGGTCCTGTTGGCATCATCGGGCCATGATCTTCAGCTCTCATTGTAGTGATATGCAGCCACGTGTGAAGCAGCTGGGTGGAGGGTCTGAACATTCACATCTGAGACCATTGTCGTCAGTCAGAAAAGGGTGGATTGCCCTCTCTAGGTTGGGAGTGAGGTGCTGCCTCAAGTGGAGGAGTTCAAGTATCTTGGGGTTTTGTTCATGAGTGAGGGAAGAATGAAGTGTGAGATCTACAGATGGATTGGTGTAGCTTCCGCAGTGCCAGTTAATTGTGCTGAAAAGAGCTGAGCTGCAAAGAGAAGCTTTACCTCTCTGTTTATGAACTCTAGGTGGTGACCAAAAGAATTAGATCAAAGATACAGGCAGTCTAAATGAGTTTTCTCTGTGCAGGGTAGCTAGACTCTCCCTTAGAGATAAAGTGAGAAGTTCAGTTCTCCAGGAGAAGCTTGGAGTATTGCCGCTGCTCCTCCATATCCAGAGGACAGTTGAAGTAGTTCCTGGATGCCTCCCTAGGGAGGTTTTCCAAACATGCCTAACTGGGAAGAGGCCCCAGGAAGACCCAGGACATGCTAGAGATACTGTCTCTCAGCTATCCTGGAAACTCCTAGGAGTCATCCCAAAAGAGTTGGAAGAGGTGGCTTTGGAAAAAATGTCTTACCTTCCTGTTCAAGCTGCAGCCCCTGCAACCTGACTCTGGAGCAAGAGCAAGAGGAAAATTTTGGATGGATAGACACCTGTGTTTACATGTGTACATTATGAATGTACACATATGTGTTTAAATGTTGTACCTGATTTAAACTTGGGTTTATCATGTGTGTAAAAACAGATGCTATGTCTCTGGATCTGTGTTCCTAATCTGCTGATTTTTGTTTCTGATGACCAGGAATGGTCTCGGACCCTCTAAAGAAGGAGAGGCTCAGTACTCTGTGGTCCATTGTACAGGATACATCAAAGCCTGGCCTCCTGCAGGTAAACACTCTTTTACCTAGAAATTAACCTTAGAGAGGTTTATTAAAACCAGAACCAGTCTTGGTGCTTCATCAGTAACGTGATACTGAGAGTGTGTATGTATTTTAAAATCAGAAGAGCTACACGTCAACAAACGCATCAGATTATCACGTGCACTCACAAACAGCACAAGTTTGCACACATGCTGCACACGTGTTCTGAAAATAACGTGGTTCATTTCTCTGTACTAAAAATACTCGTTTGGAATGTTCTGGACTTTGTCCTGTGCACAGAGGAAACAAACACGCACACACACTTCCAGATGTGTTGCTCTTTAAGTTTCTGTGGCTGAAGAGAAAAATGAATTCATGAAAAAAGGTGAAGACATTGCTTTGTTCTTCTTCTCTCTGGTTGCATTTTAAATTTATTTTTCAAAAACATTGGCACGAATGTGGCTCTGGTTTCATAGACGTGGCTCTGGTTTCCTGGACGTGGGTCTGATTCAGACCTAAACAGTTAATTTGATCCGGATGGTTCATCTGATGTTTATTGGTACTGAAGGCGTTTGAGTTCTGGAAATGATGCCGCAGGTTCACAGTGAATGCCAATGTTCTGTTGGTGTTGAAGTCCAGTCATAACAGAATTCTTTCGTGCTCGTTGTTGGGTTCTGTTGTGTCTGATTCTCACTTCTCGTTGGACTCAGGCATGACGATACCAGAGGAGGACACGGAGGCGGGTCAGACAGGAAAGTACTGCCTGGTGGCCATCGGCAGACTGCAGGTACGCCAGAACCTAACAGAATCAGAACCAGGTACTGATTGTGTAATGGCTGATGCGTCTCTACTGCCTCTCCCTCCCTCAGGTAACCAGTTCTCCAGTCTCTATGGACATGAACGGCCTGTCGGTTCCCACAGAGTTCCTGTCTCGCCATAACTCAGATGGTGTCATCACATTTGTCGATCCTCGCTGTATCAGCGTCATCGGGTACCAGCCTCAGGTCTGTTCAGAATTCAGGACCACCTGATGCCCCTGAATCTTAAAGATTAATCATTATTTCTGTATACAGTCAATCCCTAATGTAGACTTTAATAAATGTATTAATGCTTAGGTAGAACTGGACACCTGCCTGGTGGTCCATTGGCCACCTTGGTTCAGAAAGGTTTCTTGATCTGCCAGTAGGTGGCAGTGGTAAGATTACCTGTTGGGATTATCCGGTGTTCTTTTTACACACTTAGCAAGTTTACTTTACTGATAACAAAAACAATTAATCTGTTGTATTTTGGAGTCAGATCTATAAAAATATCAAGTATTAAACATCACAAACATGAAAAATATTTCTGCAGCTAAAGGGTGATTCTTAAAGAGGAATGAGCCAAAACCTTTACTGTATGTTCTGTGTGGAACCAGACTGGGAGGGACTAGAGGACGTTCTGTAAACTGTCCAGCAGAGGAACTGGCTCAAATACCAAAGGTCAAGAACCAAGAACTGAGAGATGGCTGAAGAGTTTTACACAGCACTGTTTGAGCTATGCATTCAAAAAGTCAGTTTATCAATCATATATCTGCTCTATTTCATTCAGTTCAGTTTATTTCTATAGCTCCAAGTCCCAACAGAAGTTCTCTCAGGACACTTTACAAAAACATACATTATAAAAGCCAATCAGTAAAAGTTATCTAAGGAAGCACCAGATTGTGTTGAATCTTTACTTTGTCGCAGTCTCCCGTCCTGAGCAAGCACAAAGGAGACAGTGGGAAGAAAAAAAAACTCCCTTTTAACAGAAAGAAACCTCCAACAGAACCAGGTTCAGGACGAGCGGCCATCTGCTTCAACTGCTGGGGTTTGAGAGGACAGGAAGTAGAAACAAACACAGAATGACACTATCCAGGTGGAGGTCTGGGTGGATCTGGGTCTCAGTGATAGAGGGTCAGGGTGTCAGGTTGGGAGTATTTTTATTTCTATAGTTTTATTTTTGTAAAATTCTTAATATTTTGCTCTGGAGGATACTGGACCTGTTAAGTTTCTGGAAGACCCATATCTGCTGGATCTGAAGGTCCATTTCAAACAGTTGATCTTAGAACCTGTCGGTTGGACTTTAGTTTTTATTGTTTTATCTTCATGTCCTTCAAATTTGAACTTTTCCTGCTGAATGGCATTTATATGGATCAGTCCGAACATCTGGTTCTTCTCTGACGTCAGCATCAGTTCGATCCGTTCTCTGAGGGTTTCAGTTTTCAGACTGACCCTCTGATGGTCAGAAAAGAGATTTTAGGAGCCAGTAGAAATTATAAAATCATATTTTGACTCATGCAGATGTTTGTTCTGAACCAAATGAGGCCCGTTATTTGTTCAGGATCAGTTCCTGTTACCTGACTGTTCTTTGTTCTCTAGGATTTGTTGGGGAAAGATATTCTGGAATTTTGCCATCCTGAAGACCAGAGTCACCTGAGAGAAAGTTTCCAACAGGTACAACTGGACTGGATCTGCACTTTGATATGATTGGTTCTTTTTTGGTGTCGACTGAACGCGGGTGTAAACAAAACCAAGACATTTCCAGACGAACACAACTTCTCATAAGCTGGTCAGTTTGTACCCAGAGGTCACCCTTACGTACTCAGTGCTTCCATCTAGTACTGCTGTTCCCATGGTTCCCATCCATGCTCCTTTCATACAAACATTTGAGCCCTGTGACCCAATATGCACATCTGTGCAGAACCAGCTCCATTAATCTATGTTGGTCTCAGTGTGACAAAGACCCACTCCAGGCAGACTCTAGAATAAACCAGTGTTTAGGGTGTACAACGAGACCTGGAGTCAAATCTAGTTTATTAGTTCATCCAAGAAAAATAAACTCGATTAGGAGGCACTGCTTCTGGTTCTGAACCCAGATCCAGGTCGACTGATGAAGTCTCCGTCCTCCAGGCTGAAACACAGAATTCAGTCTGTTTATTATTAGTAACATATCTGGTACTGATGACACAGACACACAGGTTCTGGAGATCCAAACTCCTTCCTCTTCATTGTATTTATCCAACAGTTAAAGCTGTCTTAGATCAGTGCACAGAAACACAAGTCCAAACCAGCATGTCTAATGTGGTCCTGTTTCCACAGACTTGTAAAACTACTCTTTCTCAGAAAGACTCACGTCTGAAAGAGATGCTACGTCAGATCATTGTAGTTCTTTACACTTCAGTCTGCCTCTGTTCTCTCCACCAAACGACACTGATGGTACAACGCCATGTTAGAGGGCTGAGCGCAGAACGTGTCGGTCCACCAGGAGTCCACTGAACCTCTGGTCTGATCAGATGTGCTGATCAGGTGGTCTCCCTCGGGACACATGGACTTGGACGTTATTCGGCTGAGAAAAGTGTGACAAACTCAACAGACAGTGTCATGCTGAAGTGTAAAGGTGTGATATCAAGTCATGTAGCATTCTCTCACACCGGAATGTCGTTTTTGAGCAAGATATGTTTCAGAAGCCTAAAAAACTATGACAACTGGGTCCTCATGGGTAATTCCAGCTTAGATCCTCCATGCTCTAGGACCAGTGTCATGGATGATATGATACAACTGTTGATGACTATTTGAAAAATGACCAGACCCTTTAAAATGTGGAACTGGAGGTAACCCAGACAAGATCTAACTTCAGTTCTTGTCTGATTTCCTGCTGTGGAGCCCAGTTAGTGTTTGGGTTCTGACAGTCTGCTGTGTCTGTAGGTGGTGAAACTCAAAGGTCAGGTCCTGTCAGTCATGTATCGTTTCCGGATGAAGAACAGGGAGTGGATGCTGATCCGAACCAGCAGTTTCACCTTCCAGAACCCCTATTCAGATGAGATCGAGTACATCATCTGCACCAACACGAATGTCAAGTAGGTTTTTCACTCAGTTTCTGTCAGCTCTGCTTGAAACGGCTGCACAATTGTTGGCTCCTTGTTCTGATGCACACCTCAACACATTACAGGAGACTTTTTCTGCCAGCTCTGTTTGAATAAATTTAAATAAATCAACAAAGTTCGTGCTCAGTCATTAAATATATCAACTCTAGCTGTGGATAAAGTCCATTTGGTAAAGGAAACAAAACTTTAATTTAATGTTTGATTCACTCATTTTATTGGAACCAAGCACTGTTTTTACTAATCATCCTGCTGTGAAAAATAACTACAGTAGTCCCTTGTTAATCGCAGGGGTTCTGTACCCTGAAGCCCTGCGATAAGTGAAAAACTGCAAATTAGGAATACAATAGTCCAAATTCAAGTTCAAGTACAGTAAACTATATTAAGGCTTTAGAAACTAGGGGTGCACCGATTGCAGTTTTCTGGCCGATCACTGATTTCTAAAAAGTCTGACCTGCTGATTCCGATTTTTGCCGATACCGATTTTGTTTTATAAGAGACACTGTCAGGTGTTATAAGGTCACAATGCACTTTCAATTTTCCAATCTTATTTTATTGAAAAACATACCCTTGAACAATATCCTAGAAACAATACAAACTGGTTTTAACTGGCCATGAGGTAGTGCTCTGAAATATAAATGAAGTTTAGACAATAGTTGTTAAAACAAAAACAAAAAAATCAGTAAAATCGGTTTCTCGTGCAAGTATCGGCCGATTTCCCAAACTTAAGGAAATCGGGGCCGATTTATTGGTGCACCCCTATTAGAAACCCTTCCCACACTTTTGGAATGTTCTAAACTCTTAAACCTACATCATTTTAACAGCATATGTTACTAAATTTTACTTGCAGAACAGCAGCAGCTCTGGTTCTGGTCCAACTCTGTTTAAGTCCAACTCGGTTCGTTTCTGTAGACCTATCCTGCATCAATGAAGCCCACAAATCAGTCCTCTAAACTCTTAAACCTACTAATTTTAACAACATACAGTACTTATATGTACAGGAGCTGCAAAATTTTACTTACCAGTATCTGCAGTACAGGAGCAGCTCGGTTCTGGTCTGATCCGATAGATGAAATAAGTCCCAGTACAGCATGACTGAAGCCCACTGCTCCATCCAGCTTAGGTGCGCATGCTGCTGCCCAGGATTTAACCCACCACCTCTGGTCCAGTCCGGACCAGCACTGCGCGACCAGAACCTGACTGAACCCTGCAGCCGTCTGTCGTCTGCAGCTCCCAGGATTCGGGTCACACTGATTCTGGATCAGCTGCAGCCCACTACTCAGCAGTGAAGATGCAACTTGAAGGATGAGTTCAGCTTCAGAATTATTTATGACTTTCCTGCCAGTCCTGTGAGCAACAGAACTTACAGAACTTCAGACTTTGCTGCAAAACTTTCCCTCCATTTTGCAGAAAGCAGTGGTTGAAAGAGCAGTGTTGACTTCCAGGAAGTGATGGCTTCTGGGTAACGTAGTTCTTTAGACTGGCAAAACCGTGAAGGCTTAATAAAAGAAAACTACAAAATGGTGGCGCATTTAAATTATTATTATTTTTTTATATTATGTACATGTACAGTACTTAAAAAAAAACCGCAATAGAGCGAGTCCGCGATAAATGAACAGCGAAGTAGCGAGGGGCTACTGTATTATGTAGTACCTAGTATGAATGTGTGTGTGGAGGTAGATGAGGGCACAGATTTTGTTGTAAAGAGCTTCGAGAATCTCTATTAGATAGAAAGGCTCTATATAAACAGTCCATTTACCACTTACCATTTTTCATGCAGGACTGTTGCAGACATGTCTTGTCCCATCCTGGAAGTTTGGACATTGTGGAGGTCCAAGTTTTAAACTGCAGGAGATGCTCTGTTTATGAAGCTAAATTTACTTACAGACTCATCTCCTTCCTTCCTTCTGAGAGTCATTTGTTTTCCCGGTTCACAAGCTTAAATGTTCTGATCAGAAAATTAAAAGGTCTTCTACAGAATAAATGCTTACGTGCTTAGATTTTCAACCTTTGAGACTCACATTCTCAGTGAGAATGTGGGCTGAATGAAAACATCTTTGAGGTTTTCGTATAACAGGAACAGAGTTACGTTGTGGTTTTTTTGTTTGTTTGTTTGTTTGTTTTTTGTGGTGTTCTGTGCATGAATGAACTGAAGTGGAAGAAACCTGAGAGTGGTCAGTGGTACTTCTCCAAAAACCTGCTGCTAGCATGGCATGGCAGCTCAGCTGTGATGCATTCACAGACTGGGAAACAAGTTTGAATTTTAAGTGTTGGACCAGCCTGGTCAAGCTATAACCAGTTCAGTTCTGGTCAGCAGCTGGTTCCTCTGTGTGATGTTTTACAGGCAGCTTCAGCAGCAGCAGGCAGAGCTTGAAGTCCACCAGAGAGACAGTCTGACGGCCTACGATCTGTCCCAGGTAAGGCTACTGGTGTGTACTGGTGTCCTGTAAAGTCACATCATCGTCAACATCATGTCCTCTGCTCCCAGGTTCCTGTAGCCGGAGTCAGCACCGGAGTCCACGAGGGAGGCAAGACCATTGACAAGACCGAGGCTCTGTTCTCCCAGGAGAGGGACCAGCGCTTTACTGAGATGTACAGCAGCATCTCAGGCTGTAGGACACACTCAGACTTACACACACGGTCAGACAGATGGTGTTGTCAGTGCATAATTATTTCCTGTTTTCTCAACATTAGCTGGAGAGAAAAAGATGATGGTGCCGTCCTCCACAGCTGGAGGACAGCCCCTCTTCTCCCAGAGCTCCCCCTTCCAACAGGGACACTCCGGGAAAAGTTTCAGGTACATGTTTGCGCTCTCAGTTTGTCACCGTTACAGTACAACATTCTGTGAACAGAAAACCAACAAGAAGCTATTGAGAAGTTAACGGGTTGGTAACAGGTAGCTAACAGGACATGAACAAAAAGCTAACATAAGACTTACAAGAAGTTAAAGGGAAGCCACCAGTAGACTAACAGGGACTGCTTACAGGAAGCTAACAAAGTTTTGTTTATCTGTTTGTGGGTCTCAGTTCTTCAGTGATTCATGTTCCTGACATCCAAACATCAGGCTCATCTAATCAGAACCTGGCTCAGATCTCCAGGCAGCTGAACCCAGGACAGGTAGCATGGTCCGGGAACCGACCGCCCTTCTCTGGGCAGGTAACACACAAACACATGAAGAGGAGAAGTTTGCTTCTAGATTTTGGTTTATGCTGACATTTTAGTTGACGATCTGGTGTGTGTAAACACACAACCTGTGTTCTCCAGCCCAGTAAAACCCAGTCCAGTCCGTTTGGTATTGGGTCAGGACACAACTACCAGACAGATCCAGCCTCCTACAGCCCCCTCTCATCCCCGTCCACATCATCCCCCAGTGGAAACGCCTACTCCAGCTTGACAAACCGCAGCACGGCGTTCGGTAAGCTACACCTTTCATTGATCAGATGGTCAGATATCAGGAAAATAATTATCAGCAAACACGAAATGAATATTTGATCCTTCTGCCCATCTCCAGATGTGTCAGGAGAAGCTGGTCAGAGTGGAGCCCAGTTCCAGGGACGGCCCAGTGAGGTCTGGACCCAGTGGCAGAACCAGCACCATTCCCAGCAGGCTGGGGAGCAGCACAGCCACACCAACACAGCTCAGACCGAAGTTTTTCAGGTAAGAAACTCTGACAGCTCAGCTGTTGCTAGTTGGATGTAGATCTGTCAGTGACCTCTGACCTGTGTGACCTCTGACCCGTGTGTCTATGCAGGACATGTTGCCCATGACTGGAGACCCAACCCAGGGAACAGCGAACTACAACATAGAGGACTTTGCGGACCTCGGCATGTTCCCGCCTTTTTCCGAGTAGTCTGAGCAGAACCCCTCAGAACCTGCAGCTCTCTGCCGCTCTCACATGGACTCATGTTTGTGTTTAGCTTTTTCTTCTGATTCGTTTGTGTCTCTGGTCACCAGAGGCCTGTTTGTCTGTTTCCGGGCCACCGGAGACCCGTTCGTCGGAGCGATGAATGTTTCATCATTTGCATGTGGACTGTCTCTCTGGAGTCCAGAGTTCAGGCTCTTGGACCTGTAGTCTGGGTCTGGGACTGTCCAGTCAGCCTGAGTTTGTTGTAATGGTTGTGAGTGACTGCAGTTGAGGTTACTGAGCATGCTCAGTACAGTCCTCAGGAACACAGAAGGTTCCCTTCTCCGTGTTTATGGGATCAGATTTTATCTTAAACAACCAAGTTCTGATCTGATGATGATCCAGTAAACATGATTCAGATCTTCTGTGATGACCTGGATTATTTCACTATATGGAACCACAGAAGGTACTTCGCCTCCCATGATCTCCACAATGGATCATCTCTCCCACCAACCCTCTTCAGATCCTCCTCCTCCATACTCAGCATCCTTTGTCCAAAATGTCCACTTTCCCTCCTCTGCACATCCAGCTGACTGGACCACCACAGCAGATCCAACCAGTTCTTAAACCAACCAGAACAAGCATGAAACTGCCGAGAATCCTTCATCATAAATGTTCTGGAGATCTGCTCATGGACAGAATCCAACATTCAACGATCTTTATCGTATAGAGTTCAACTTTTCACCAAAACCCACAAACATCCAGAGATTTTCTATACAGAGAAAAGCTGTTCAATCATTTCATGTTCTTTAATCCAGCGGACCTGCTGCGTGTGTTGACCACATGGGTCAGCAGGAGGTTCTACAGCCTGGCTCAGGACCGGTTGAGTTCAGCTTATCAAACAAATGCTGATAAAACTCCCAGATCAGGTCCGACCGGAATCTGAATGACCGTTAATATCTGAGGTTAGTTCTGGTCAGATGACCCAGAGCTGGACTCTGTACCAGGTCTGGACAGGCTCTGATTAGACCAAATGGTTCTAGTTGTTCTGTGAAAGTTCTGCTTCAAGCAACCTGTGGATGTGCAGAAAGCATACTCAGTGAAGTGGTTCATCCTCAGGAGATCCTCATTCTGTGTTGAAGTCCTCGATTCTAGAAAAGCTGTGTATGAATCAAACCTGTGGCTAAGCTAATGCTAACAGTAAAGCTAACTGCTCATCACACCAGCCTGCTTTAAGGGAAATCCGCCATACTGAAGCACCAGTTTTACTTTTGTTGGCCCGTTTGATGTCGTTCAGCTCTATTTGACTATTTCTCTGTAATCTTCTCATCAACCAAGAAACGGAAGAATTGTTTGTAGTTTGATGGCTGTTACACAATAGCTTGATGTATGTAAATAATGTCATTTTTATGTCTCTCGTGCTGCTCTCACCCCATCTGTTTCTGTGGAGGTCCTAATGATGTCGTGTTTTATGTGTGTATTTAACTATTGATACTTAGATAACTGTACATTGAGTTCTGTATAAACTGTGTAAATGTGACCCATTATTTTATGTAACAAACTGTACTTGTGAAAATAAATTCTTCCTGCTTTGGTGGCTTCAGTCTATCACGTATAGACTTGTTTTCAATCCCAGAGTAGACAAACTAAGAGGATCCAAACACAGTAAAAGGTAAATAAAGCTCATTCTTAGGGGAGGGGGTTATACAGTGTACAGGGGAAGGGTAATCTGAAAAGGAGGGAGCATGATTGGTCTCTGTGATCGTAACAGGTTGATTCTCAAAGCTATAGGTTCCTGATGTATTAAGTGATGTTCAGTGCGGAGAGGACGGTGGAGGTCCAGGAGTTGTACAGAAGAGTAGGAGAGTGGCAGGCCAGAAACTTGGCAGACTGACCCAGGGCTGTTTGTTGCAGGAAGCTGAGGCAGTTGGTTCCAGGTGAAGATCCTTCAGGGTACTCAGAGGGACTGGAAGGGCCCAAATAAGGATGCCAACAAGCCGGGGCTTGGGAAGACACGCACACGATATACAGGTTAGAGTTACTAGGCACAGGTAACCTGCTTACAGCGGCCGTTGCAGTTACCCCAGAGGCTTCAATGATCCAGCGTTGAACTGGTCCACAGGAGCTTTAGAGCATTAGCTCAAAGTCAGCACTGGATCAGGAACAGGTGAAAGAAGTAGGCTCAGTCCTGCCACTCAGGAGCTGCAAGAACCAGTAAGAAAATGGCTAAACAGAATCTCCACACTGAGTAAAAATAACGTCATCTTCATTAATCAGTGATTGTTAGGTTTGTGTCAGATTTAACATTTATTATTATCAGTTTACAAACCAGAATATCTTATATTTATGATTTAGTTTTTGCTCATTTTAAATTTATTTTGTTCCTAAAACAAAATACTGAAAAACTAAAAACCACTAAGTAAAAAATAAAAATTTATAACGTGGATAGGAAAGTTTTCTATAAGCAGCTTTTTAAAGACCGTCTACATTTTATTGTCTGTAATTCATAACAATTGTAAAAGGCTCAAGAATCCAGATATTCTGGACTTAAAGAAAACTGACTGGAAACCTGAAACCCTAAACGATGGGATCACTGGGATTTCATGCAGCACTTTACTGAAAACAGAAATCTGATGATGAGGCAGCAAATTTGGGTTCAAAACATTTCTGCAGAAAAAAAATTAACAGATTTCATCCATCCATCCATTATCTTTACTCGCTTCTTCCTTTTCGGGTTGTGGGGGTCACTGGTGCCCATGTCCAGCCATCACTGTGTGAGGGGTGGGGTACACCCTGGACAGGTCTCCAGTCCATCACAGGGACACAGAGACAAATGAGACAAACAACCATTCACTCTCTCACTCACACCTATAGGGACAATTTAGAGCAGGGGTGTCAAACCCACTTACAAAAGGGGGACAAAATAAAAACCTTTTTCAAACTAAGGGCCGGTTTCAGAATCTACATTAACTCAAGTTAGATCCCCAACATCTTTTCTTGGGGGCAGCACGGTGGCGCAACTGGTAGAGCTGCTGCCTCCCAGCAAACAGGTCCCTGGTTCAAACCCCGGTCCAGGGGCCTTGTGGGTGGAGTTTGTATGTTATCTCCGTGCATGCGTGGGTTTTCTCCGGGTACTCCGGTTTCCTCCCACAGACCAAAAACATGCATGTTAGGCTGATTGGTAACTCTAAAATTGTCCCTAGGTGTGAGTGAGAGAGTGAATGATTGTTTGTCTTGTTTGTCTCTATGTGGCCCTGTGATGGACTTGCGACCTGTCCAGGGTGTACCCCGCCCCTCTCACAGTGATTGCTGGACATGGACACCAGCGACCCCCGTGACCCAAAATGGAATAAACAGGTAAAGATAATGGATGGATGGATCTTTTTTTGGTTGCAGGTTCCTCAACAAGAGTTTGATTGGTCTCATTTGATGTTCTCTGTTACACTTTTGAAATCATAATCAAATATTACTGAAAAAAATGAAGTGATTAAAGTATTTTACATTTAAAAGAACATCTTTGGGGGTCAGATAAGATGTCTACAAGGGCCATATTTGGCCCCCGGTCCTTGACTTTGACATATGATTTAGAGTTACCAGTCAGCCTAACATGCATGTTTTTGGTCTGTAGGATGAAACCGGAGTACCCAGAGAAAACCCACGCGTGCACGGAGAGAACATGCAAATTCCACCCAGAAAGGCCCCCAGACTGGGATTTGAACTGGGACAACCTGCTTGCTGAGAGGCAGCAGCTCTACAAACTGCGCCACCGTGCTGCCCAAACAGATTTCAACGCTGCATTTGAAATAAAAGAGAAACATGTTCACCCTGAGGTCCATTCCACCACAACAAAAGAGTACTAGTCTTTGAGGGTTGATCCCATGTTTATCTCCTGATCCTTCGACACAGCTTGTTGTTGGATTTAGGCCTCTCACCTCAGTGTTTATTTCCCAATCTTTTGATGCAGCCTGCAGTAGAACAGAGCTTCTCACCTCTGTGTTTACCTCCTGATCCTTTAACACAGCCTGTGGTAGAACTAGGCCTGGTATACGGAAGTAGAACCACAGCCAACTCAAACCCTTCAGAACTCCAGTCACCAGTAGCAGCAGAACTGACACAGGTATTAAAACAGGAACTCCTCATATAGAGAGCCAAATTTAAATTTTCATGAAAACTCAAAACTGTATTGGTTTCTTTAATGTTTCATTCACTTCCTGTCTGGGATAAAAGTTCCCAGACTGAGAAACCTCAGCACGTGCATGACTTGGTCCTGGGGTCAAAGGGCACAAGATGAAATCTAAATAATCTGTGAAGCATGTGTTCCAGTTAGTGTGAGGGGAGTAGAGTGTTTTGTCTACCCTTTTCCAGAAAAAAATGTAAGGAATGGAAAAACTAAAATGTGTTTTTCTGAACATGAACCGGCAGCTCCTGAAAATCAGCCAATCACAGAGCGAGCAGAGGCATTTAAAAAAAACAACTTTCCCCAGCATTCCTTCCTGACACGCCAGGCGCTGTGATCTGCCTCCTGAATCTGATGTTTGGAAGTTCTGCAGCAGAGGAACCACTAAGGTTCTGCTGCAGCCTGGCTCTGACCCCTTTTTTCTTTTGATGGTTGTCACTGATAACTGCTGAGATGTTTATTTTAGAAAACACAAACTGAAATTTTGTTCTTGGCCTGAAACTGGCTTCTGCTCTGTTTACTGCCTCGAGCTGTGGAGCCAGAACTGAAGCGTTCTGACATTCTGCATCTGGATTTTCAGATAATAGTGAATTAGCATAAGCAGCTCAGATGGTGTTTGTATGTGCGGGCGTGTGTGTGTGTTTGGCAGTGCATTCCTGTCTGCAGTCAGCGTGTCTCTGAGCTGACATGTCTGTCTTAAATCAAAAAGTAAAGTTTTGAATTTCCTCCAAACAGAAGTTTTGAACTCATCAAACAAATGTTTTTGATTCCTTGAGTCCTTTCTGTGTTTTCCACGTAACGTTAAATAGAACGTGTGTGTATGTGTGTGTGCTTGTTTGTTACTTTGTGAGGACCATTTTTGAACACACTACACTGTGAGGACCAACTGCTCTTTGTGGGGACCAAAGCCAGGTCCCCATAAGGTTCAAGTGTCATTGGTGAGTCAGAGATTCTTTATTGTCATTCGTACCACATGTGGTACAGGTGGTGGAACAAAATTATGTACACAGGGTCTCAGTTACATCCAACAATAAACATGTAAAAGAAAAACAATGATAACATCTAAGATATGAACTAAGAAAAACATGAACTAAAAATACACTAAGCACTAATAGCATAAAAACATTACGTCGAACAGCAGCACAAACACGAGCATGAGTCTGTGTGAGCAGATGAGCACGCATGAACACATCAACATGAAACAGATCAGAAGCAACATGATGTGATTTTTCACAGTGATTATTCTGGTAAGAAATTCATGAGTCTAACAGCCTCAGGGTAGAAGCTGTTCCTCAGTCTAGTGGTTCTACACTTAATGCTCCTCAACCTCCTTCCTGAGGGGAGTGGGGCAAAAAGTGTGTGTGCTGGGTGAGTGGGGTTCTTCATGATGCAGGTGGCCCTCTTTCTGCATCTGGAGGTGTAAATGTCTGTGATGGTGGGGAGAATGACTCCAACAGTCTTCTGTGCAGCCTTCACCACTCTTTGCAAAGCTTTTCTTTCTGCAGCTGTGCAGCCTCCATGCCACACGTTGATGCTGGAGCACAGGATGCTCTCCACTGCACACCTGTAGAAGGAGGTGAGGACTGAGCTTCTCAGACCAGCTCGCCTCAGCCGTCTGAGGAAGTAGAGTCTCTGATGATGAGCTTTCTTGATCAGGCTGGTGGTGTTGTTGTCACAGTTGAGGTTGTCATTCATGTGTACACCCAAGTACTTGTAGCTGAAGACCACTTCCACCACAAATCCTCTTATGTTCAGGGGGGTATAGGTGTGTTTGTTCCTTCTGAAGTCCACAATCATCTCCTTTGTCTTCTTCACATTGATGTGAAGGTTATTCTCTTTGCACCAGCTGTTCAGGTGTTCCACCTCTTGCCTGTAACTGGACTTGTCATTGTTTGTGATGCATCCCACCACCGCTGTATCATCTACAAACTTTACAATGTGACAGCCTGGATGGGTAGCTGCACAATCATATGTGAGCAGAGTAAACAGGAAAGGGCTCAACACACATCCCTGAGGACCAATGTGCGTATGTGTGTGTGTGTGTGTGTGTGTGTGTGTGTGTGTGTGTGTGTGTGT